TGTTCCAAAGGTGGCCAAGGTTGTACCTTGCTCTGGCAGCCAAACTTGTAAGTGTAAGTGTTAGCCATGTGGTATTGGTTTTGAAGGCATGAAGGAATCATGAAGAGCAGGGGCTTGGCACTATGTGACTGGGATGGGGTTCCTAAAGAGAGCCCATTAGATGTTATTGGTGAAAGTGTAACCCAGTTGCTGCAAGAAACCCTAGCAGTTTTGGAATTGCTAATAGCATTGGATGACCACCAAGAACAGTGGGAGCACTGGAATGGGGGCCAGCCAGAGCCTAGAAGATAATCTGTGTGTGTTGAAGAAGGCAGAGCCAGAGAAGTGACCCAGACCCTTTAGAGGAGCCCAGAAGATTATGAACACAACCCAGACATTGAACACTGAGTTATTTATACAGTTGGAGTTTGGTTTTACTTTGATTTAATTATGAATGTGCTCTGGATATTCCTTCCTGAAGTAAGAAAGTATCAACTCATTTTTGTTTTGTTTTGTTTTATTAGAGCCCTCAGTTGAGAGATACTCAATTTTAAAAGACGCTGGATTTTAAGAGACCATTTTAAAGAGACAGAATTTTTAGGTGTTTGAATTGTTAAAGATTGAAGGACTTCTAAAGTTAGGAATGCTTATAATAACGATACTAATGTGTGATCTTGGGGGAGAACAAGAAAGGAGAGGATATGGCTTAACAGTGATGTGTCTGTGTGTTAAATTGACAAGGGATCAGCTGTGCTAGCTAGTTTTATGTCAGCTTGACACAGCTAGAGTTGTCTTAAAGGAGGGAACTTCAATTAAGCAAATGTCTCCTTAAGATCTGGTTGTAAGGCATTTCCTTAATGATTGATGGGGAACAGGCCAGCCCATTGTGGGTGGTGTCATCCTGGGCTGGTGGTGGTCCTAGGTCTACAGGAAAGCAGGCTTAACAAGCCATGAAGAGCAACCAAATAAGCAGCACCCTCCACGGCTTCTGTATCAGCCCCTGTCTCCAGGTTTCTGTCCTGTTTAGAATTCCTGTCATGACTTCCTTTGATGATGGACAGTGATAAAGAAGTGTAAGCCAAATAAAACCTTTCCTCCCCCAGTTGCTTTTGATCATGGTGTTCAGTCACAGCAATAGAAACACTAACTAAGACACAGGCCAAGAGCATCCCGGATGGCAAGAAACACATAACCTAATCAGCAAACATGCTAAAAGAAGGCTTCTCAGCTGAGGCAACAGCCAACAGAGACCCAAGGCATGTGCCTACCAAGGCAGGGGCTGGAGTGGGACATGTGTAAAAGCCCTGCCATACAGCTAACATGATGTGTGAAAAACAGTGAGAAGTGTTGGGAGAGGAAGAAGAGTAGCAGCTGGGATGCAGGGCATGCAAGGCCTCATATGCAGATTGTGTTCCAGATAGTTTGAAAAATTACGGATGCCTTGAAACAGAAAAGCAACCAGAATAGGTTAGTTTTAGAGATGATGGGGGTTGGTGTTGGAAGAAGAGAGGCAAGTCAAGAGAATCTTGCTATAGTCCCCATATGATCACAATAGCATAGCTTATGTGGGAGCCATAGAAATGATGACAATTGGTTGAATTCACAAAACATATTTTAATAATCTATTTATTTTTATTTTGTGTGCATTGGTGTTTTGCCTGCGTGTAAGTCTGTGTGAGGGCAGTGGATCCTGGAGTTACAGACAGCTGTAAGCTGCCATGTGGATGCTGGGAATTGAACCCCGGTGGTCTGGAAGAGCAGTCAGTGTTCTTCACCACTGAGCCATGTCTCCAGCCCCAAATTCACAAGACATTTTGAATAAAGGACTTTGCTGTGATGATGAGTGACACTGAGAGAGAAAGAGAAGAATGTGACCTTCCTCATCAGTAAACTTTATAAAGTAGTCACCAAAACAGAGCGTGAGAGTCTGTACAGAGCATGAGGATGTACAGCACTAATCAAGGTTAAGGTGAAAGATACGCGGTTTGTCAAACAACAACCTACACGAAAAGCAACCAATTAGTGTGTGAACACTATCAATAGTTGACAAGTAAATGCTTGAATGGATTCTGCCATTTCTTCCAACATTTTTGTTATGTGCCCCTGCATGTTCTATCCCTGGATATCTATATATAGGATGTGATTGTGTGGATAAATATGTCCCTCCAGCATTCGTATTGCAACTTAAAATCCAACATGATGGTTTTAAGAAGGCTTTGCTCTCACAAATAGAAGTGGTGCTTTTGGACAAAGCCTTTAGCGTTGACAGTGGGGGGTGTATTGTGTCTTACTGAGAATTTTTACTGCTGTGATGAAATACCATGACAAAAGCAAGTTGGGGAGGAAAGGGTTCATGGCTTACACTTCCAGATTGTAGTACATCATTAAAGGTATTGAAGACAGGAGGTAGGAGCTAATGCAGAGGCCATGGAAGGGTGCTGCTTACTGGATTGTTCCTCATAGCATGCTCAGACTGTTTTCTTATAGAACCCAGGACCACCAGCCTAGGGATGACACTACCCATACTCGGTTGGACTCGCCCATATCAAATACTAATTAAGAAAATGTCAAATAAACTTACCTACAACCTGATGTCTCCTATTTCTGTGAAGAGATACCATGACCATTGGCAAATCTTATTAAGCAAAACATTTAATTAGAGTTGGCTTACAGTTCAGAGGTTTAGTCCTTTGTCATCATGGCTAAGACCATGGCAGATACGGTGCTGGAGATTTCTACATCTGCATTAGCAGGCAGTAGGAAGAGAGAGTGAGCCAACTGGGGCTGGCTTGAACTTCTGAAACCTCAAAGCCTACTCCCAGTGACATACTTCCTCCAACAAAGCCACACTTCCTAACAGTGCCACTCTCTATGAGCCTATGGGGCTACTTTTATTCAAACTACCACAGACATTTTCTCAGTTGAGGCTCCTCTTCTCAGATGACTCCAGCTTGTGCCAAGTTGACACGAAACTATACAGTACACATTATAATTCCCACATTAAAGAGACCGAATCAAGAGGCTCTCATGTTTGAGGCTAGCCTAGGCTAAATAGCAATATCTCCCCCGACCCACAATGAAAAATAAATAACAACTTCAGTGTGTGTGTGTGTGTATATCAGGTCCTTTACTAGTTACATTTTTTTGCCACTATGATAAAACACCATGACCTGGGGCAGTAGAGATGACTTAGTTGTTTGGGAGTGCTGGGCTGCTCTTCCACAGGACCTGAGTTTGATTCCCAAGACCCACATGGTAGCTTACCATCAATACATAACCCTAGCACCAGGAGATATGACAGCCTTTTATGGTCTCCTGAGACATCAGGCACAGACATACATGTAGGAAACGCATTCATACACAGAAAATAAGCATAAATGCTGAGCGGTGGTAGTGCAGGCCTTTAGTGCAGCGGTGGTAGTGCAGCACTTGCAAGGCAGAGGCAGGCGGATCTCTGTGAGTTCCAGGCCAGCCTGGTCTACAGTGCGAGTTCCAGGACAGACTCCAAACCTACAGAGAAACCCTGTCTCAACAAATAAATAAATCTAAAACCAAAACCAAATTACATGACCCAAAACAACTTAAGGAATAAAGTTTCTTTTGGCTTGCCAGCAGGCACCTGGATAAGAAGCTGAGGGGTCACATCTTCAACTGCAAACACAAAGCAGAGAGAGTGAATAGGAAGTAGGCCAAGGTTATAAATTCTCAAAGCATACCCACAGTGACATACTTGCTCCGGCAAGCCTATATTCCCCAAAAGCTCCCACTGACGAGGGAAAAAATGTTCAGATACCTAAGCCTATTTAATATGAAGGACAATTCTCATTTAATACTTGCCATGGTCCCATTTTTGTCTCCTATCTGCTGTGAGAGAATGAATCCATCCTTTCCAAAAGAAATAGACACTGTTGCAGAGCATATAGCAAGCCATTGTCAGACACTGACTCTACTGATGTCTTGGTCCTGGACTTCCTGACCTCCAACTGAGTGAGAAGTAAACTCCTGGCCTATGTAACTGCTGGTTGTGTTAGTTACTGTGCTGGTTACTCTTCCCATCATGAGGATAGAACACCTGAATATGCAGAAGTGATTCTAGAGCAATGGAATTGTAAGGATGAACTTTTTAAGGATCTGGAACAGGCTTTGCAATTTGCTGACTCTTTGCAGTCACTGAAGCCTCTCCTAAAAGCTGGCAGAACATTGAAAATTCACAGCATGAACTGTTTTACAAACTTAGAGAGACAAATGAATTTGATTATCCTGATTCACCAATTGTGAGAGGCAATGAATTTGGTGACTCTGTATATAAAATTTTTGACGGTTTAGGGAAAATAATGATGCTAGTGTGTTGCTCCTATCATCTCTAAATAAACTGACAAAGGAAAAGAATGAACTTTGTGGTAAAATTAACTGACCTCTAACATCTCAGAATATGGTGAAAGACAAGGAACTCACTGGTGAAAGTGAACAACTCCTGATGTACACAAACAGCCTAAAGGTGTCCGAGTGTGTGCTGGAAGAGATTTCTCTCTCCAGCAGCCATGGAGCTCAAATTGTAGAAAAATCAAACCAAACCCTCATTATAAGGCTGGCTGGATTATAGTGAAAATTCAAGTCCCAGGCTCACAGGGTGTCAATGGTTAAAGTAAGGGCATTAATTGGTAAAGAATGGGATCCTATAACTTGGGATGGGGATGTGTGGGAGGACCCTACTGAAGCTGAGAACTTTGAATACTCAGATTCTCAAGGGTTTACCTCACTCACCTGAGGAAGCAGTCTCTCTACCCTCAGCCAAAGATGTACTCACACCCCCAGCCCCTGAAATATTGTCCTTTTCACCTTTGCCAGAGGAAACGAATCCTTCATTGTCTGCTAAAGAAGCAGTGAGCTTCTCTGAAGGAAATGCCAGGCAAGACAATCCTGATGTCCCTCAGGCTCAGCAATCGTAGCTGGTAGACCAGACTAAAGACAAAGCATGCACCCAGAGAGGAGGTTGAAAAATGTGCCCCACCACATCAGACATGGCCATGGATACCTGCTCCAAGAATGTAAAGGGGAAGAAGGAAACTGTGGAGGAGAAGGAGAATGGAAGAGACTCACCTGCAGATGGGAATGCTGATGAGGAATATGGAAAGCAGGAAGCTCACAATGGGTTAGATGAAGAGGAATCAGGTGGGTGGGAAGAAGAGGAGGTAGAAGGTGACTGTGAGGAGGATGGGATGAAGATGAGGAAACAGGCTCCAACAGGCAGGCGGGTGGCTGAAGATTATGAAGATGATGATGGTGACACCAAGAAGCAGAAGACTAATGAGGACGTCTAGATAGCAAAAAAGGAAAAATTAAACTTGGGGCCACTTCACCCTCCACTTTCTGTCTCAGAATTTAAACAGGATCACCTTCAAGTAGAGAAGCAGGCCCCGCCCACCCGCAGCAGGCAGTACCGCCAACAGACCATACTCTCTCCACCACCCCACCCCAACCACAACAGGAATTTGCAACAGGGGAGGAAAACAGAACAGAAGCTTCCAAGGCCCTTTGTTTTCTTTTTTCTTAAAAATACTTTAGAAGGAAAATTTGTTTTATTTTTATTCACATTTTATATTTTTGTGCATATTGTTAGGGGTCCACCATTCTTAAAGTTAACAGGTGACCAAACCGGCCTTCAGATGGTTCTCTGTCTTACTTCTGAATTTACTTGTGGTGTGAGCATGTTCATTATAATTACAAAGGAGAAAAGCACCTTGTAAAAAACAACAACAAAAACAACCTATTCCAAGCATTCCAGTAACTTTTTTGTGTATGTACCTAGCTGTGCTATAAATAGTTGGTTTGCATGAGATTGTTAAAAAGGCCAAATATAAATGGCTGCCTTTTAAAACTTTTTTGTCTATGAGGTCACTGTTTATTATTATCATTATCATTATTATTATTATTTTGTCCAACTTGATGTGTGTATGAAGCAATGACCAATAATAAACCAGCATTTTATTTTGCTGAGTTGCTGTAAAAAGAGAATTCTCAAACAAATAAAAGGAAGGTTACATTGGGTCTTGGCAAAAGGGACTCTTGGCCTGAGAGTCTATTTCCAGACTTGAGCCAGTTTGCAGACTCAGAACTCCTTGAATGAAGGGAAGGCTAGGTCCTAGGAAGGACTTTCCTCGGAGTTGAACTGTAAACCTTTCTCCAGTCCTTCCCTAGAGGGCCCTAAGGCCTTTTACAAGGGTAACTGTACAATGGGAGTGTCTTAGTCGGTGTCCTATTGCTGTGAAAAGACACCAGGACCACAGCAACTCTTATAAAGGAAAGCATTTAATTGGAGCTGGCTTACAGTTTCAGATGTTCAGTCCATTATCATCATAGCTGGGAGCATGGTGACATGCAGGCAGACATGGTGCTGGAGAAATAGCTGAGAGTTCTATGTCCTGATCCCCAGGCAGCAGGAAGAGAATGCCACTGGGTCTAGCTTGGGCTTTTGAAACCTCAAAGCCCACCTTCAGTGACACACTTCCTCCAACAAGACCATACCTCCTAATCCTTGTTAAATAGTGCCACTCCCTGACGACTAAGCATTCAAATACATGAGCCTCTGGAGGCCATTCTTATTCAAACCACCACTTCAGGGAGAAAGGAAACAATCAGTCTTCCTCATGTCTATTGGATACTGGTTCAGAATTGATACAGACTCCAAGAAGAACTGTGGCCCTCTGGTTAAAGTAGGGGCTTATGAAGGTGAGGTGAAGTCTGACTCATAGTAGGTTCAGCAGATCCCTGAACTCACCCTGTGGTCATTTCCCCAGTTCCAGAATGTATAATTGGGATAGACATCCTTTGACAGAATTCCCACAATGGAACTTCTTATCTCTTAGGACTTACCTTCCTCCCAACAGGCATTTATGTATGATCATGTCCATCAAAGGATGAACTCATTGATGAAGTTAGATCCTCATGGTCCAGCCACTGCTCCAGGTGCTTTGCTACAGTGGTGCAACTGGGTTAGGATAGCACTCTCTGTGTCCAAGTGGGAATCTAAAGCTGAAGGATCAGACCCCAATTCTGTACAACTTTGGATGGAGATGAAAAGAATGTAACGATGTAGGTATTTCCAAATACTTGGCTAAATCACTATAGTTCCTTGTTTTCTTTTAGTTTTTCATTTTTGTGTAAAAATACCAACATAACCATGATGTTAAGACAATAACACACCAAAGAGTAATGATGCATTACCCTTAGTGACCACCTCATCCAGGGCTGAACAGACCCGAAAATTACCCGCAATAGAAAGTCATCAGTAAATTGCAACTGGGCAAGAACACTGAGTATACTATAACACCCAATAAATATAAGAAAGGATTCATTATAATAAAAAAACAGAACCAGATGCTAAAACTGAAAATGAGGAGATTACGTTGCCTTGCAAGGAACAAATCAGTCAGTCCTCAAATGTGTGCTGGTTTATATATATTTTAAAATCAAAAGCATACTCATATGGGTTTTCAGTGCCTCTCCTTTACATATGTCAAGTTACACAATGGCAACAACATTTAATATTTATAATTTCAAAGGGCCCTTACAAATTATTCTTCAAAACACAGTAATGTGGAAGCTTCCAATTTACGAACGAGAGGATGAAGAAGCTAAGGCAAAGCCCAGGCTAATGTTCCTGCCTGTGGCAACTGAGCAAGGCAGCATCAGAGCCAGGAAGAAAGCACGGTGAAACTGGTTATTTGGCTCCGTGTGGGTGAGATGAAAGAAAGAAACTCAGTCTGGTGTCACTAATGAGTTCATACATCTAACCACTCAGGTTCACCGCCCTCTTTCACATAGCATGGAGAGATAGATCTGGCTTTATTTTACCAATTTCAGTGACAGAATGAAAATAATTTATATTAATAGGTGCATCATAGGCATATGACACAAACTCGAGCACACTGACTTAAAAAAAACCAGAGAGGCTAGAAAAAGGAAAGATCAATAAAATTAACAGGGTCAAGAAATAGAACTGGGTATGGTGGTGTAAACCCGCACCTATCGGTGAGAGGAGACTGAGGCAGAAGGATTTTTATGTTCAAGGCCAGTCCATGGTACATTTCAAGCTCAGGTTCAGGTCAGGCTTCGTAATGAGACCCTTGTCTCAAAAACATAGAAAGGACTAGAGAGATAGCTCAGTAGTTAAGAGTGCTTACTGTTCCATAGAGGGCCTAAGCTCAGTTTCCAGCACTCATGTCAGGCAACTCTCAACCCCCTGTAACTCCAGCTTCAGGGATTGGATGATCTCTTCCAGTTTCTACAGGTTCCCATGTACCATGGGCATATACGTATAAATAAAGATACCCCCCCCCATTTTTTGAGACAAGGTCTGTCTGTGTAGCCCTGGCTGTCCTGGAACGCCTCTGTAGACCAGGCCAGACTCTAATCAGAGATCCACCTGCCTCTGCCTCCCAAGTGTTGGGATTAAAGGCGTGAGCCATCGTTGACTGGCAAAAACATTTTTTAATCTAAAACAAAACAAAAAATATTAAGGTGGAAATGTCAAAATTAATTATAAATAGATATTTACTTATAAAAAATTTGGTGAGATATAATGGTGGATAACACTGAGCACCTAACTTTTACAAGCTACACTTTCAATGAGTCAAAAAGGATTATAGGTACAAAAACATACAAACTCCAGACTGATAGCTGGGATACCAGCATGGGACTGAACCAGAACCCAGGAACATGGGTTTCAGTGAGGAAACCTCAGAAATCTACGGGACCTGCTGTAGTAGTTCAGTACTTATCCCTAGCATAGGTGTGGACTTTGGGAGCCCATTCCTCATAGAGGAATACTCCCTGAGCCAAGACACATGGGGGTGGGCCTACGCCCTATCCCAAAGGATACAATAGACTCTGATAACACCCTATGGAAGGCTTCACCATACAGGGGGAGCAGAAAGGATATGTGATAGGTAGGGTTTTAGTTGGGGGGGGTGGTAGGGGAGGACAGGAGGGAGAAGGGCCATGGGAAAGTCATGTAAAACAATCTTGTTTCTAATTCAAATTTTAAAAAATCTGGGGAACAAAAAGAAAAGAGAAAAAAAAACATACAAACTGTCTAATGCAGGGCTAGGAAAAGGATTACAATCCCAGAAAAAGATAATGAAAAAGCAAAAATATCCTGTAAAACATTTGAGTGTATTTTTGGCAGGACTGTTGTCAGGGATATTGGCACATTAATATAACATTTAAAGATTCTGAACAATCTGTTAATAAAACCATCAGCCAGAAAGAACCATCTTAATTATACCAAAAAGACAAAACAAAAATCCACATCAGAGTACTGACCTGCACTGCCAAGACTTGAATGAAATGACAACTTCTGCTATGCTTTCAAGGTTAACAAACACCCAATAGATTGAGAAATGACCAAAGACAGGGATGACAGACTTTCATCAGAATGGATTAAGGCTTCCAAAAACATACATTCTTTTTCTTCTGGTGAAACAGTGAAAAGGTTAGCCATACACACAAACTCAACTTTAAAACACTTTTGACCCAGGGCATGTAATAAGCACCCTGCCTCATGCCTGCCAAAATGTCTGTCAGTTCAGAGAGAGTTTGCCTCTGCAACGCCAGACATCTGTGCAAAAGCTGAAAATGCTGGTCAAGGATTTTAATGTTTTGTCGACATGGTGCCAAACATCTGGGAATCTGAAAACATCTAGATAATTGACTGATTTTTTTTAAAACTTTTCATCCAGATGTTTGGCATCAGAATAAAATACCACCTTACTATTTAAGTACATACATGATGTAAAAAAACTCTCACAATACACCCTTAATGTTTGGAAATAAGTTTAAAGGCATATGTGCAGTGGGATCTGGGATTTGAAATAAAAAATTGCATGTGTGCTCGGGAAAAGAAGTCAGACAGGAGCACACTTAAATCTTTGTGGTGCTTGCTGGATCTCTGGTGAGGGGATTACTACTGATCTTGATTGGGCTTGTAGTTCTCCAGCTGGGTCTAAAGTCCTTCAGGAAGGCAGCTTCACTGAGTGGGTAGACAGTGTCTGTTAATCTGGAAGCCAAGTTTCATTTAGTGTTGGCAATGGTTTACTCATAGTTGTGGCTGTGAACCTGCTGGTGAGTTAGGCTGGTTTGAGGGGGAAGAAAGGCAAAGTTAACAAAGCTGTGAAAATTCTAGAAATCTTAGCACTGTTGAGTACATAAAGATAGAAGCAATGAGATCAACAGGGTTCCCACTGAAACAACCAAAACCTTTTATTACGCCACATAGTCCCATCTACACCCATAGCCATGCCAAAACATCTAAAGGTTGACA